ACCAATCTTCAGCTTCTTCTTCGAGCATATGAGTCCCAAACTGCACCTTCTGTGCATCCGAGCAATTCATAACTCGAAAAATCTTTTCCACAGCTTTCAACCAAATTTGTGCCTTGTCCGGTTCATGAGTTCCCTTGAAGACCGGAGGGTTATTCTTTTGGAATTTCCCCAAAGCACGGAATCCATCATCAGCATGATTCCTCACATTCACATTGGCCGGAGGATTCTGCCCAATTGCCCCCGCCAATCTCGTCAATGCCTCCGCAATCGCTTCGTCGTTCCTTCCTGCAACCATCTTACTAATTCCAACAACAGAACCACGTAAGAACAACCAATATTGATAATGCAACACACGCATATCAATAACACACAGGAAAAACACTCTAACAACTTGGCCGGACGGACCGACCAGCTCTGATACCACTATTGTAACACCCCCTTCTATACCCCAAATTAATGCGTATAAAACAATTAAGCACATACAAATTCATCAGAGTAAAAATTTTAGGATAAGGTATAAAGGAAGAATGTCACAGTTTCACCAACAAAACTCTTTAACATTTTGCTCCATAAAATATGTAACATTTTCGTAGTTTTAGACATCACATTTCAACATTTAATTTAAGCGGAAGATAACATCATTAAATCAGTTCCAAAATATTAATTCAAATGCACATAAGTCATCCAGAGTAATACATCATATCAGTTAGATTATAAAACTACATCAGCTGATACATCGCAATGTATCACAAAAGAATGACTATACTAGTCTAACTACCCGGTGTTACATATCAGAGCAGCCGACTCAAAAGAATGAAGACTAACTTCACAAAGGACTCCAGCATCCTAATCTGCAATGCCTCATAGAGCATTATAAAACAGCAGAAGGGTGAGAAATATAACCATAATAATCAAGGCATAAGATTACGTATATATAGGTATCATATAACACATATTCACATTTCTCACCACACTTCATTCTCATAATCATAATCATATCACGTTCACATATATCAACATTATGAACATCCACAAGCACATCCCTTCATGCTCGACTTCACAATCATTCACAAGCACATTTGTACCACAACAATATTATGCAATGTGACTCAACATATTCAATGCAACTCAATGCTATGCGGTACCGACTCTCGTTATCTTTTTTCGGTTTTCACTCTAAACCGGGTCCACCCTTCTAGACCGATAACTCGTTATCATTTTTCGGTTTTTACTTTAAACCGGGTCCACCCTTCTAGACCGATAACAACCAAGCCCGTCCCTTAGGCTTCAAACCCACTCTTCTAGGTTTGGGACAAGCCACTAGTTTCCACGAAACTAACAGACATTGCCTCTTGACTGAATGATGCATGTACAATCAACTAATCACAATAAATGCACTTAAGACCGTTCCCGCGTCTTAATCCCATGCATTCGAATAATTCACCCCTTCGAGAATTTCATCATGATTGCACATACAACATATATCAAACATTTATCAATGTATTCATTTCACACATCATCATATTCAACAACAATGCACACATATCACATATGTTCCCATGCATTCACACAACAATCGCATACATATATGCACTCACAATTCATTAGACGATACACATACATTCCTCATTGTATTCCCATGTATCTCTAATTATCACAACAATCAAGGTATTCACATCGCAATACCAATCATACAATTATAAGTTATGCACACATATTCAAAATGTTCTCATGCATACTCATTACATAATTGTATACACGTCGAGCATTCGCAAATTCATTAAATAATACACACATAATCACTTATTATGTTCACATGTATTTATACTTGATGCAATTAACCTTTGAATCACAATTCTAGGATTCACGCCCGTAGGCTACCCACAACACACATTATCACAATACATCATATCTATATTCATATCATAAGGTATCCACCCATGTGAAACAACCAAACCATCTCCACATGATCAACACAGCAAAAGAAAAATGCTGTCAAACTCGCCCACATTCGCCTGGCGAGACCCCGCAGCGAACCTTCGCTGGGCCTTCGCTTGGCGAACTCTCTCAGCGAACACTCGCTAGGCTTCGCCTGGCGAGACTTCCCAGCGAGCCCAAGTCAGTAGCTACTGACTTCATTCGCCACCATTCGCCAGCACCTTCGCTGGGCGAACCTTCGCTATCCAACTTCGCCTGGCGAACTCGCCAGCGAAGTCCACTGGGACTTAATCATAATTACTCGCCAGCATTCGCTAGGCTTCGCCCGGCGAAGCTTCGCCTTCGCTCGCCTGACGAGAGCCAGCGAACCTGCGCAGAACAGAACCCTATTTTGCCTCTCCTTCATCAATCCATCATCAACCAAACCTCAAACATCCAAATCAGTACAAATAACATCAATACATGTTACCCGACTATTCTACGGCATTATTGCTCAGTTCCAACCGATTAAATCATCAATCTACCGATTAATCCAACATTTTCCCTAATTGGAAAGTGATGAAAACTCTATCAAAACCCCAACCCAACATACATAACATCATGCAATGATCAAATAGAAACATTTCTCACCCTTACCTCGATTAATCGGAGCTTTGATGTTGGTTCTTAATGATTTCCACTTTTCCTCTTCTTCTCTTCTCTTTCTCTCCTTTCTTCTTCTTTCCTCTTTCTTTCCAAATATTTTCTATCTTTCTTTTCTTTTCTTTCTCTCTTATATATTTCCTTCATTTTCCTTCCTCTCCAATTCCTTCTTAATTTTCCATCCATACCAATTAATAAAATTAATTCCAATATTAACATAAAATCCCACTAAATCAATTAATTACTACAATTAATTATTTAATGAAATTTGGGCTGTTACACCTTATGTTTCTGCTGTTGGCAATTTAATGAATGCTCAAGTTTGTACTCTTTCATATATTGCTTTTGTAATTACTGCTTTAGAGAAATACTCAAGCCTTTGGAACCATATATTATTAATGGACTTATAAGAAGTCTAATCAATTTTAGGTAATTGGTTATTTTAATTTTAGTTTTGAAAATTTTCATGACAACTGGAATTCTACTATTGGCTTAACGTTTATGGTGACCCAAGGAGCTAATTCTTGGAAGAATGTTAAGCAAACCCTTATAGCTACCTCTACCATGAAGGCGGAGTATGTAGCTTGCTACGAGACTACTTGTCAAACTATATGGTTGAAAAAATTAATCTCTCACTTTAAAGTTTGTGAAAACATATTCAGATAACTTGTGATATACACGACAATATTGTTGCTATGAATTTCTCTCAAAACACTAAGAACTTTTCATGCTCAAAACATTTTGACATCAAACATTTATTTGCTAGAGAAAAAATTCTTAAATTTCATACTCAAATTTCCATTAGAAAACATGGTAGCAAATTTACTAACCAAAGGCTTAAATATTGTAGCTTTTTAGAAGCATGTTATCAGTATAAATTTGGTTAATTCATTTGATATTTTAGATTAGTGGGAGTCTGAATTATCATATTTAATTGTTTAATTATTAGTCTTATTCTTATTTTTATTCTAATGAGATGTGTATGATACGACGTCAAATTCTATATTCATACCTTTTTTTAGCATTGGACCATTTTTGAATTATACACTTTTATTTAAATTATAATAATTCACATTTATCATTAATCTATGTATTTAACATATATGATATATTTGTCTATCATATACAATTTTTGAAATGTTAAGCCTTATATTTCTTAATATTATACTCTAATCCTTTTATTATTGTAGTTTAATAATTTATTTAAATCTTCTAAACCAGAGATCATTTAATTTTATTATGGATAATTTTAATTAATTGAATTTTATTATGGATAATTTTAATTAATTATTTTAAGTAAATGTTGTATCAATTGTTTATTATAATTATGGTAATTATTCTTTTTGGTCTCTTAATTATACATTAAAGTTCATTTTGGTCCTACAAAATTTTAAAAAATTTATATTGGTTCCTTAACTTTTCAAAACATTTTAAATTAGTACTTTTGTCTATTTAGTGATGAATTTAGCGACTGATTTTTGAAATTTTCTAATCGTTTATAACAAAAAAAATTAATATGAAATATTTTGAAGAATTAAATAATCAATATGAATTTTTTTAAGTTAAAAAGTTAAAATAAAATTTGAAGTATAGTTAATAATGATATTTTGCCTATAATTATTGTATTGGATTTTAATTAATAAGTATTAATGAATTGTTGTAATAGTAATAGTTGTATTCTTCTTAGAATGTTTATTACTTTTGATCCCTTCAGTATTTTGTACGTCTTTATTTTTGGGTTGGGATCTATTTTTTTTCTTTTCATTATTATAGTTTTGTGTGTAAATAAGACACATTTATAAGATAGGTAACATATAATTAATATTTAGTTAATTTTATATATATATATATAAATTATAATAATAAAAAAAAATGGAGGAATAAAGAAATGAAGTGGATTTTAACTCTTTATTTTTATTATTTATGAGAGTAGTTTATTAAAAAAAAAAGAGATCTTTATGCTGTGATGATTATGAATTCTGATTAGATGAAGGCTAATAATCAACCATTCACAATAGAGAAGTACACTTCTCACAAATTATTTACTATTTTTGAAATTACAGAGCCAACTTTGAAATTACACGATTTTTTTTACTTACTAATTATAACATTATATATAATACATATATGCTATATTAGGTGAAGGGACAGGGCCACGTTCATACAATCAACTTTGAGATTCTTCACATGTTTTTATATATTATCCAAACATTGAACCCCTAAAGATTAATAATATGACCCATTAGGCTTTTTCCCATAGAAAAAACAAAAATAGTCATTTTCCTTTTTATTTTTTTATAGACAAAGCACACTATTTCATCAATAATTTGCTTTCTCCATCACACTAGTTCTCCGTCCTCTGTTTTTCTCTCTCTATAAACCCTTTCTCTCTCTAGAATCTCTAAACCCCAACCAAATCAATGGCTTCACTCTCTATCTTACGCCATAACCACTTCTTCTCTGCTACCCTCCCAACCCGACCCAAACCCAAATATGCCGCCGCTCCAGGAAGAGTCCGAATGTCTCTCCAAGAAAACGCACCCACACTCGCCGTCGTCGGAGTCACCGGCGCCGTCGGCCAAGAGTTTCTCTCCGTTCTCTCCGAGCGCGACTTCCCTTACAGCTCCATCAAAATGCTGGCGTCAAAACGCTCCGCCGGCCGCCGCTTAACCTTCGAGGACAAAGAGTATGTTATAGAGGAGTTGACGGAGGAGAGCTTTAACGGCGTCGACATTGCTCTATTTAGTGCCGGTGGATCGATTAGTAAAAAGTTTGGTCCTATTGCTGTGGATCGAGGAAGTATTGTTGTTGATAATAGCTCGGCGTTTCGAATGGATGAGAATGTGCCGTTGGTGATCCCTGAAGTGAACCCGGAAGCCATGGCTGGGATTAGGGTTGGATTGGGAAAAGGTGCTCTCATTGCTAATCCTAATTGTTCCACCATTATTTGCTTAGTGGCTGCTACTCCTCTTCATCGACGTGCCAAGGTTCACTCCCTCTTTTTCTGATTAATGAGATCTCAGTAATTGATTCAGTAAAATTGATTTTGGCTAAAAGTGATTTGAAGGTGAATTGATTTATGTTGGGATAAATTTTTTCAAAGTGAGTTAAGATAAATTTCTTTATAAAATCACGTTCAGACTTGAAAGCTATAAATCATAGCTTCAAGTCAATTCTGAAAAGCATAATTAGTTATACTCAGAGCAAACAACCAAACATGTCAGAATCAATTTTACATATCCAGAATCAATTCTGGATGTTCAAAGGTTTAGATAGTTCCCTATATGGAGGAGACATACAAATTTGATTTTGGAGCCGTAGACTTGGTTTTGATATGTTTGAATACTCAAGTAAAATTGATTATAAATTGAAGCTATAATTTAGAAGTTTTGCCTCAACCGTTGATTTTAACCTCGGATAACCTGAATTAACTCATTCCAAATCAATTTTTAGAATGGTTAAAGCCAAACACACACTTTGTCAAACCATAAATTTGAAGTTAAATAATTGATTAGAGAATTAGTTTGACTTCGTTCAGAAGTGAAATCAAACAAACACTTATGGTGTATAGTGTTTGATAGGGTTAGGGTTAAGATGTGGTTTATTTATTCTGTTTGATTTGATAAATGTTGCAGGTGGTACGGATGGTTGTTAGCACATATCAGGCTGCTAGTGGTGCTGGTGCTGCTGCAATGGAAGAACTTGAGTTGCAAACTCGTGAGGTTTGATCCATCTCGCATATTCTACTTGGGTACTAATATGAGGGGAAAGTGGTTTTCGAGTCTCTGATCATGAATTTTTAAGGTTTTGTTTTTGTATGCTTAGGTATTGGCAGGAAAACCACCAACATGTAAAATATTTAGTCGACAGGTATATGATGCTCTTTGTTCATTTCTTGTGATTTTAAGTTCAAGAAACATTTCTTGACGAGCTTACTATTTTGCAGTATGCTTTTAATCTGTTCTCACATAATGCGCCTATTCTTTCAAATGGATATAATGAAGAAGAAATGAAGTTGGTCAAGGAAACAAGAAAGATTTGGGTAGGCTGTGTTGTTTATTTGCATTTTTTCATTTATCATGTTATTAAATTCTCTAACCTTAGTACACTATACTCTTTTCAGAGTGACAATGATGTTAAAATAACAGCTACATGTATACGAGTTCCTGTCATGCGGGCTCATGCTGAGAGTGTAAATCTTCAATTCGAGACACCCCTAGATGAGGTAGTCCATACTTTTTCCAACTGTATAAAACATCTAATCTCTATGATTCTGCATGAGAAATTTCTTTGGTTTTAATATCCTCAGGACACTGCAAGAGAAATTTTGAAGAATGCTCCGGGTGTAGTAGTTATTGACGACCGTGAATCCAATAATTTTCCTACTCCATTGGAAGTGTCAAACAAGGACGACGTTGCTGTTGGCAGAATTCGCCGTGACCTATCTCAGGATGGAAATCAAGGGTATAATTTCTTCTGTGACAATATATTAGTGTTAGTTTTCAATCAGTTATGCACTTCATCATAATCACTTTACATCAATGGTGGATTATACACACAGGTTGGACATTTTTGTTTGCGGGGATCAAGTTCGCAAGGGAGCTGCACTTAACGCAATCCAGATTGCCGAAATGTTGCTGTGAGTATATGTCAAAGTTTTGGTACCTCGAAATTACGCTGCTGCTTTTGAGTCAGTTTTGTGTCTCCTAGTTGGAAGGGGTTATTCTTAGTTTTTGTAAGGTTTATTTAGTCAAGGGAATTTTTCAAGTATCTGGTAATACACTTGCTTGAACTATTTCTTTTTCATGGCCTTAATATTCTGTAATTTTCAAGCATTGTCGAAGTCTGTGGGAATGAATAACAAGCATTGAGGTAAAGAATTTTTAATCCAAATTAAAGTATCTCTTCACTCCCCTTCACTCCCTTTCTCTCTGTTTTAAAGCATCTCTCCACCCACCCATTGATGAACTAAATAGATCCTTAAAAGTTATTTTTTTTTTTTGAATAAATGAGTATATTTCATTCAAAAAATAACAATTACACGCATGTGGCGATCCACGATCCAGCCCTCAAGATTACCAAATCACACCAAAAATACGCTGCCAACAAAAGAAAGAAATTAAGCAACAGTAAAAACTATAGCATCAACTCTGAAATTCGAGTTCGAAGTTTATGACTATACCAACCTTTATAAGTTATCATATCTATAATATTACTCCGTATAAAGCTGTTGTCCTTCGCCTTCCCGAAACAATTGTGATTCCTATACATCCAAAGTCCATAAAGTGTCTCTGTCACAGCAAGACGGATGAGTGCTGATTTTTTCCCCTTACCTGTACCGTGCTGCAGAATTCAATTCAATTCTTGATTCCAACTTTTTGGTTCGTGCCGAACACCTATCCAATCCAGAACATCCTTCCAAATACCTTTCATAGTGGGACATTCAAAGAACAGATGTGTGATGGTTTCCTCCGCTTCGCAGAAGCAGCATGTATTATTTTCCACCTTTCCATACCGCATACACCGGTCTTTCGTTGCAAGTCTCTGATGGCATATCAGCCATAATGTCATAATTGCTCTTGGCCTTGCTACATTACCATACATTAGTTTCCGCCAAATTTTCTCTTCCTCATCTCCCTTATTTAGTTCCCGATAAATACTTGACATATGGAATTTCTCCTTAGCCAACATTTCATCCCATTTCTGCTGGATCGGTGGTATCATGTCTCTAGCTTTCAAAGCCGTTTTCATAATCCACGAACTATTCGGTTTCACACTCATCTCCATAACACTCTTATTGTTGAAATAATATGTATGCATCCAGCGAACCCACATGTTATCTGCTTTATTACATATGTTCCAGATTAGCTTAAGCATCGTGACTATACTCCAAATCTCCAGGTTAATAATATTCATACCTCCATATTTGACAGGTTTGCAAACAGTTTTCCACGCAACGGGGCTGCGGTTACTAGGTTCCAAACCACCTGTCCATAGGAACGTTCGGCATATAGTATTAATCTTCTTCAAAACATATTTTGGCAGCGGTAGACATTGCAGCCAATAATTCGCAATTGCAAAGGTAATGCTTTTGATAAGTTGGAGTCGACCCGCATAGCTCAACAACTTGGTACTCCAATGTCTTACCCTATCCACAATTTTATCAACCAATATCATGTAATGGTTGATAGAAAGCCTTTTCGTCGTGAGTGGTACGCCTAAATATTTGAAAGGGAGAGAGCCCTCCACAAACAAAGTCTTTTGTAAGATTGCATCTTTTACATTTTCTTCCACACCCCCAAAATATATGCGACTTTTAGTAGCATTTAACATCAGTCCAGTGGCTTTCGTAAAGTTACAAATCGCTTCCACCATGATCTCTACTGATCTTGTGTCCCCCCTGGAAAACAGTAGAATGTCGTCCGCAAATGTCAGGTGCGTGATGTTCAGCTTTTCACATTTCACATGGTGGTTGAAATCAGGATTCTGTTGCATCCTGTACAGTACCCTATTCAAGTATTCCATCACTATCACAAACAAATAGGGGGATATAGGGCCCCCCTGCCGCACACCTCTTTTTGCTTTCATGATACTACTATACTCCCCGTTTACATTAAATCTGTACGACACTGTTTTCACCGCGAGCATGATCCAACGAACAAATCTGTTTGGTAAGCCAATTTCGTTTAGAATTGATTCAAGAGCTTTCCAATCCACCATATCGTACGCTTTTTGTAAATCCAACTGAATCATACATCTAGGCGCCCCTCCTTTGCGGCTGTAACCTTTAATCAGTTCGTATGCTAGTAGTATATGGTTATGAATTTGCTATCCTGGGACGAAAGCAGCCTGGCTGCATCCTATTAGGTTTGCCATGATCTTACTTAATCTCATTGTAAGAATTTTGGAAATGATTTTATATAGGGTAGTACAACCTGCGATTGGTCGATATTCCTTGATAATTTTTGCCTCTTCGTGTTTGGGAATGAGCCTAATCAAGGTGCAATTCACAGCCAGGAAAATTTGATCATGTTCAAAGAATTCTCTCACTGCTGCAATGACATCCCTACCCACAATTTGCCAACTTTCTTTGAAGAATTTTGCCCCGTAGCCGTCAATACCCGGAGATTTGAGGTCTCCAATACTGTGCAGAGCTGCCACAATTTCCTTTTCTGTGACTGGGCCAGTGAGCATATCTGCCTGATCAGTGTCGATTTGATACCCTTCTCGCATTGCCACAATATCTATAGCCTGAGTTGATTCAGCCTGTTTGCCCATTAGATCTCCGTAAAACCGTAGTACCTCTGCTTGTATATCTACTTGCTCAGTGGCGATAGAACCATTTTCCAACTGCAAAGTCTCTATACTTGTTGCCTTATTTTTGGCTCTGATTGAGGCATGAAAATAGGAATTATTGCCATCCCCTAATTTTAGCCAATCAATTTTCGATCTCTGCTTCAGAATTGCTTCATCAATCTCATTCCATTTAATGACATCTTCTGTACAATCCTTGACTAAGTCGATTTTTTCTTTATTCATCCTGTCATCATTGAGCGCCTGCTGTGCTTCCTTGAGTGCCTCTCTAGCTTTTGCTAAGTGAACTTTAGCCTGTGTTGTATGTTTGGTCAAGGGGCCAAGATCCTTCTGTAACCTCTTTAGTTTCTTCCAAACAACTTCCATGGGTCTGCTACCATTAACTGGTGTGTGCCAGCTGCGAGCAACAATCTCACTGTATCCTGCCATTTTCGTGACACAATTCAAGAATTTGAACTTTCTTTTCCTGTAATCTGAGTTCTCTTGTCCAATCACGTGGAGAATAGCGTGGTCCGACACATTTGGAGCTAGCACATTCAAGTTCACATCCTGAAAAGTTTGAAACCAGTCCACATTTCCCAAAACTCTATCTATTCTTGAATAAATGGGGTCGACATTATGTTTATTAAACCAAGTGTAGTAATCTCCTTTGGACTCCATTTCAAATAGGCCAATCCTCTGCATCATATTTTGGAGATCAATGTATTCTGTTTCCGTTACTCGATTCCCCCCAATTCTGTCCTTTGTCCTCAATACATTGTTGAAATCTCCTACAATGCACCAAGGACCTGGTTGTTGGGAGTGTTCAATATCATGCCACAATTTTCTTCGCAACTCCAGTTTATTATGTGCATAAACAACTGTCAGCCAGAATTTAAAGCCTCCTTGCGCATCCCTTACCTCACAGTGCACCATCTGATCAGTGATTTTATTACTAATGATATCAATATTACCATCATTCCAGTTCAACCAGATTCTCCCATTTATATGATGACTATAGTTATCTAAGTATTGGCCTGGAAGTTTCAGTTTATCTCTTATATTCTTTGCATTTTCCTTCTTCACCCTTGTTTCTAGCAAGATATTAATATCAGCTTTTAGGGACAGGAGATGGGAGCTAATCTCCTTATATTTACCTGCTCGGTTGAGCCCCCTAACATTCCACGAGATCAGCATGGGCCAGGGTCATCTAATGCAATAGTGTCCTTCGAAACACCTAATGCATCGAACCCATTCACACATTTCAGCCAATCTTGAGTGTTGTTTTGGCTACTTCCTCTTTCATTCATACATTGCAGCCATTCTGGTGTTGTTGTCTTTGTTTGTCCTTTTCCTCTACCAGTCCTTGTTTTCCTGGGAGTGTTCCACTCTTCTGTTGGCAGCCGTTGGAGGATAGGTCCTGGCTGGTATGGTTTTGTCACTTCCTTTGGTGCAGGTATTGGCTTTTCCATCATCTGTTCTTGATATGCTTCTGGTTGTTTCTTCTGTCTCCATTGCTTAACCTCCCTTCTTGTCTCACCACATTTGTGCCCAATCTTTTGGCATTTGGAGCAAAATTGTGGTTTCCATTCAAATTCCACGACTTGTTTCATTTTATTTCCATCTTTATCTCTTACTATAATTTCTTGCGGTAATTCCTTTGTGATATCCACTTCCACCAATATTCGAGCATACGATATGCGGAGTTTACTCGCCGTACACTCATCTGTAACGATAGGACTGCCGATGGCACTTATAATCTTTCCCAAGCTACTTTCTCCCCACAGATACAAAGGAAGTTTAGGCAGTTTAATCCATACCGGGAGGGTTCTGAGCAAATCCTTTCTCATGTCAAATTCCGGCCTCCATTCTCGAAGAATGACGGACATGTTTCTAATTGTGTAGGGGCCCTTCCTTAACACTTCATCCCTGTCTCTATGTGTTCCAAATCGCAGCAGAAAATACCCATCTTCGTGGTAATACATGTCTGGCAAGGCTACAAAATTCCACATCTTTGTCATAAACTGCTTAACCGAATGCATACTCGTATCTGCTCCAAGGACATACAGTATCAGAGATGTGTCCCATAATTTTAATTCTGATTCAATGTCTTCATCTTCGATCACGACCTCGACTTCTCCATTAACGATTTGTGGGGCTACGAATTTTAATTGCATCCCCTTTGCAGGATTTCGATTCTCTTTAAGAACATCAACCCACAACTTTCTCTGCTCTTCAATTTTCTGTTTTTCTTTTTGGACTTGCGGTTCCTTCATAGAGCTTGTGTCTTCAATACCTTCCGTTTTTTCCCCAATTTTTCCAGTTAGGGTTTCCACATCAATTCGTTCCT